TGGAGAAGAATCGATTTATTTGAATTATGTTATTGATGAAAGACGTTATTGAAAATATTATGAACTTCCCGAAGAAGAAACAAATCTGCCTTGGGCAAAGCACAGCCGAATCGATCGCTCCTTAGAAATACGGACTGCTCACATCCTTGGGAGACGTTCTAGAGAGGAGAGACCAGTCCTTGACAGGGACCCCTGCTGGTCAAGTAGGTGGTAAGAGACCGAGAGGAAGACTCTCGACACTGTCTCAACTGCCCAGGCTCAACTCTGACCGTGACAGGGATGGTGAGGACTGGGCAGTGTTACGTTCTTTTGTACACAGCGCTGGTGAGTAGGAGTTATCTTGACTGCGCTTAGAATCGACGAAGGGCTGATCGTCAAATAAAAATGATGGTTCAATAACAATAATATATTTAATTCTATTTAAACTCATTTTTTAAATTTTGTATGTGAAACTATAAATCTAATGGCCAAAAAATGTAGAAGTTGAACTGAAATGAACACGTGACATTCTTCTAATACTTCCTGTTGCAAAGAAGGCAAGTCAATGAACCCACGGCTTTTGCTCTTGCTGTTGTTGATTTTTTTTGCTTTTGTACGCTGCAAAGGAATTACCTAAATCCTTTAACAGAAATTGCCTAAATTCTTAAACATCTCTAGGAACTCTGGTGCTGGGTAAAGGGTACAGGAGGCATAGGACATACAATTTTCACACTTCAAAATATGCTTTTGATGATACTGTGAAAACACACCAGCAATTTAGCAAGCAATTCAAAGCCCCCAAACAGTTCTAGTATTGGGTCAATCACTATTATACTCATATATTTATTTTATTTGAAAATATTTTTGTGGTTGTTGTTGTTCTCTGACATTAAGGCGAGGTTCTCTAATTCTAATTCAATTTGCCAACCCCTTTCGAGGTCGGCAGGAGGTGGTCAAGTGGGAGTTATAAAAGTAGAGCTCAGACACTTCTTTGCAAGCGTCTTTAGGTGTTCTAGGTTTATGCTAGAACACTTTGGGAAATTGACTTTTGGAAAAATTGAAAGTAGAAAGGGTCTTACTTTAACATTGTTCAGCATTTTTTCTGCAAATGCACAGGAACACGACTTGCGTACCAACTAGAACAATAACACAGGGACAGATTCTACCGTGTGCAGGATTAGTAATCAGCATCATCTGTCTCATTTTGTGCCCGATCTTAACAGTGAGGGGGGAAGAAGGAACACCATGTAGATGATAACCGATAAAGTAACCACACAGTAATAAAAACGATTAGGATTGTTTGTCTGTGATACTAAGGAGCCCTGGTGACACTGTGCGCTGGGCCTTCAGCGTTTTACCGCAAGTTCAGCATTGCACAGCCACAGGCACTCTGCTGGCGAGAGATAAGGCCGTCTGCTTCCCTAAAGATTCACAGTCTCAGAAACTTTCTCTGTGATACTAATGATGAGGCAGGGAAGCAAATTTGAATGCTTCTTATGTCGTTTTGAATTATACTTCTGTTTTATGTTAATCTATACAACGATAAACAGAGGGTGATTATATAGACTTATTTTGCCGCTTTACAACATGAAATGGTACCAGGAGACAGATATCTTTTTTAACCGTCAGATCTTAAAATTCATGAAAAAAAAAAGTCCTTGAGAATTGCAGAATTATCTTTTCAGAGGAGAAAATGAAGAATATGGGAATATCCATATATTAAAACAGTTTGCTATATAGATTGAACAATATTTTTGGTAAGTATTCATTTTCCATAATCATCTGAGAGAAGTTTAAATTACCATTAATATAACTATACATGCAAATAGAAGTGCTATTAGATCTAAATACTTCTGACTTAAATCTGTCAACAATTTTTGTTTTCTGATTTGAGCCAGGATCAACAACCGGATTTTACAAACTTACACTCCAGCTATTTCTTTGCAAGTCATTTCAGAATCAAGTCTATTTTTTAGAAGTTGTTAGAACATCTAAATTTAGTAGTCATTTCTCTTCCTTGTCTCTCCCGACAGCTTCATCCTCTTGGAACTTTCCGTGTTAGTGCTGAGGTGTACATGGACTTGTGTATTGGAGGGATATATGGGCTTTGAAGATAGTTTGGCTAAAGATGAAATATTTTCCCAGTAAAGGTTGTTCCTTCCTTAATGTGCAAACACAAAGTAGAGCAGGATGAATTTTGATGTCATTCACACCTCGGTTTATTTGTAGTCCTTCTGTTTATCAACACTCTGTATGTTGGCAAAATATTGCATGAGTTTAATGAATTTGATAAAGTGAAATAATAATGACTTCTTTTTGAGAGGGGCATATTAAGTAACATAATTTATGTGTTTAATAAAGACACAGGCATTCATGCAGGCTTATTATAAAAGTGTTTTTAGCAAACAAAACTGCAGTTGACATAACAGTCAAGAGAGTTGATTTGAGCGATTTTTTCTCCCATCACAACATGTACCTGTTCATTCTTCAAGGCTAGCAAGACTGTCTTATGAGAATTTCATTGGGAAACCTTTCTCGATCCATCCTACAGGCCTGCTATTGCTTCATCGGGCTTCTTTTTGGTCTCCAAACTCAAGGAACAGTAATGGACCATGCTTTGTGTCCCCCGAGGATGCTCAAATTGTCATTTTGATGAGGCATAAATCAGAGTATGTAATTCTTCAGGGAAGGGTTAGAGAGGTGGAAACACTGCCTTCAGAACTGTAGAGACCTAGATGGAGCAGAGGTGAAGATGCAGTAGCTTTACATTTTGATGTTTTTGTTATAATAAAGAGTTCTATGATCTCACTGCCACCTGTTTTATGACTTATATAATGGGTACTTCTGGGTCGGGTCTCACCTATTTGGACACAATACATTCATGCTGTGCATTCAGCATTTCTGAAGTATTTCAACTGCACCCTGGCCCCCTGACTTGTGTTCATTTTCTGGGCTATGGTGGCACCACCAGCTAATGACCCAAGTCAGAAACATCAATGGTTCGACCACATTCCTTCAGTTTTTGTTTTGTTTTTGCTAACATCAGATGGGTCACCAAGTGTTAAAGATTCTACTTGTAAATGTATCTTGATTTCATTTAGCTTCTTAAATACTTAGCTATACTTTAGCAGTGTGTTCCATTGATGTCTCTCAGGTGAAAACAAAAGCTGACTATTAGAGATATGAACTACCAAAAGTATTTGCCTTTATCTGTGCATGTTGAGAATTAAATGTCTTACAAATTTATAAAATTAGCCTGAATATAATATGACTATTATTTTGTTATTTTCCTTTTCTTTTCTGCTTTCTTTCTTTAAAAAACAAACAGCTTTATTGGCATATAATTGACAAATCAGACAATTCAATAATTCAATCATAGTAAGGGTTGTACCATCATCACTATGATTTAGAACATTTTCTTCACTCTTGTACTCATCATTATTAGCTCCAGACCCCCCCTCAACCCTCCTGCCATACCCCCCTCCAAGAAATTGTGAATCCAGGAATTCTCTATAGTTTTACGTATCCTCGATTTCATATTCAGAAAAACAATAACAACAACAAAATTAACAACAATAACAAAATAAAACGGAGAAAAACAGCAATGGAAAAGGAAGCAAAAGCTGTTTAACACTAGACTAACTATTATTTTGGTAGCACATACATCTTTGACAATCCAATCGCAGCATCTTCACTCAGAAGAGTTGCTACTGTCCCTTCACATGACTTTGTTTGCTTCATCTCTTACAAAGGTTTGGCTTCCTGTATGCTCTGTCTTTTGCTGCAATTACAAATTCTTCCTAGATAATTGTTGTTAGTGGAGAACAATGTCAAATGAAAGGCTTTTCCTCATGCCAGCAAGTTAAGTACATCAGCCTCTGCCTCTCCAGTGCATAATTCGCACCTGCCTGCCCACTTTGTGTCTGCTCTCTTCCTAGTCTCTCCCCACAGCTTCGTCCTCTAGGAATTTACTTAGGAGAGTTTGGATTACACTCCCAACAGCTCTGATAACTGAGGTCAGGAGCTAGAAAACTTTTGGTTTCAGGAGCCCTTTATACTCTCAAACAAACCAAAACAGATCAAAACTCCGAACACCAAGGCTACATTGTTTACATGGGTTTTATCTATCAATAATTACCATATTAAAAATAGAATGGGAAAGGGGGAACCGATTACAAGGATCTACATATAGCCTCCTCCGTAGGGGATGGACAACAGAAAAGTGGGTGAAGGGAGACGTTGGACAATGTAAGATATGACAAAATAATGATAATTTATAAACTATCAAGGGTTCATGAGGGGGGAGGGAGGAGAGGAAAAATGAGGAGCTGATACCAAGGGCTCAAGTAGAAAGCAAATGTTTTGAGAATGATGATGGCAACAAATGTACAAATGTGCTTGACACAATGGATGTATGTATGGATTGTGATAAGAGTTGTACAAGCCCCCAATAAAATGATTAAAACAAAACAAAAATAGAATGGAGAAAAATACAGTTTTTAAAATTTTTTAAATAAGCATTGCAGTAATTCATTATCTATTTATTAAATAAGATGTTTAAATGATAATAACTATATATACCATCCCCCAAATAAGGAGCCCTGGTGGCGTTGTTGGGTTGTGAACGGCAAGGTTGGTGGTTCAAACCCACATGTCTCTCAGAGGGAGTAAAATGAGGATGGCTCCTCCCATAAAGCTTTACCATCTTACAGCTTCAGCATCATGAGTCCCAGTTGGCAGTGGGTTGGGTTTCGGTTACTTATTTCCCACCCACAGTAGTGAGAAGAGTGGCATTATTTACATTTTTGTAACTTTCTACATTGTCTCACTTACCAATCTCAATTCCTGACTTTTTTTTATGAGGTTTTCTATATTCCCTATTAAAATGGATAGCTTTAAGGTATGAGTGAATTTAGAACATTTTATGGCAAGTGTTGAATATACAATAAAAATTTTAGATTAATAGGAAATATATTTATGATTTTTACTACATCTGTGAGCTCATGATTTCATCATTTCAGGTGCCTGTGGTAGCCATATTGGGCTCAGGTGGTGGCTTCCGAGCCATGGTGGGATTCTCTGGAGTGATGAAAGCGCTGTACGAGTCTGGGATTTTGGATTGTGCTACTTATATTGCTGGTCTCTCTGGATCTACGTGGTTAGTATGCGTTTTTAAAGTTATATTTTATCGTGTCTTTGATGAAAGCTTACACAACAAATCAAAATTCTGTAAATATTTTTCAGTGACATCAGGTACATTTCTCATGATGTGTCAGCGTTCTCACGCTTTGTGACTGTCCGTTTCCATTTACCTAGCTCTCCTGCCTGTCCTTACCATCACATTTTCCCTGCAGGGTACATGTCGACCATTCGGTTTCATATAGATGAGTTTGTCAAGGAGCAGAATACTCATTCATGATATCACCTATAAAAAAAGCCAGTCAGTTAGTTTTATGAATTAGGACCTCTGGGTATGTTTTCAGTACAAAATTTAAAGAGAATATCATAGAGATAATCCCATGGGGATATCTCTAATGTTTAATGGTTCAGTTAATCTAGCTTTTTAGAAAGAATTTGAGTCTTGTTCTACATTTTCCTCCCATTCTGTCCTAGGCATTTGTTGTGCTTTTAGTCAGAATGATCACGACTGATAGCCAGGTACCATCAAGTTCCTCCTATCTCCGGATCCATGGCTACGTAGGTTACTAATTCCACAGACTGGTTTCTTCTGAGTGTCGTTGCTGCCCTTCTTTCTCTTTTACTCCGGACCGGTACAGATCGGTCTTTGTCTCTTAGACGGCCTCTAACAAGCTGACATGATTTTAAACACTCCTCACCAGACTAGAATGTAGAGTTTTTAGAGTATGTTATGCCAACTGACTAAACTCTCCCTTGTGATGATGAGTATGCATTTTCAGTCTCAGCTTTCTCATTCTAAAGGTTATCAGATGTATCTAATTAAAACATTCAGAAGGCAAAGAGCATTCGGAATACTGGACATTAATGTAATGCTATGGAAAGGTCTGACTTCATGAAACAATCTGATTTTAAACGTTTTGAAGGCAATTCTGTATCTTATAATGTTATGATTTGTGCCACAAATGGATTGCTTTTCAACTGGTTTATAACCTAAAATGTGGAGAAATATAAAATTAAGAGTAGATCAACTGACAAATTCCAGATAAATATCATTGAAATGGAATAACATACTCCACCCATAATTAATGCAATCTTCATATAATTTGCTGATTTGTAGTCTTTCAGCAGGTGCGTCTAAGGTGACATGATTCACTATGTATTCATTTTCTTCTGTAGGGCAAATAGAATGAAATGCAAGCTACCTTAGCTCACAGAAAAAGCAAAATATCCCTTGGATGCAGAAATCCAATAAATGTCACCAGTTTGTATATAATTAAATATGAAATTACTCCTTTGAGTATATGATATCTCAGCAAAATTTGGAAGAAGAGTTAAAATATCAGAAAGTATATTCGTACTTTGTATATATGTCTTTTGAAAAATATATTTATGCAGAATTTTCAAAAGAAGACCTCATGTTTTATGTTCCCTAATTCAAATAAGAAAATTTAAAAAAAATCCTCAAATACTCAAATAAGACCATCACCTTGTTAAATAGGCATATCACCTTATTACAAAGTGTAAGATTTTGAATAAAAACTTTTCTAGTCATTCAGCCAAGGCAAGGCTCGTCTTTCACAATATGATATTAGATAGTTCTAGTGTTTTAAAGTTTCTGTGCCAGCTTATACTGTGAGATGGATCTGAGTCTATTTACTTCTTAATTAAAGACAATTTGGTTCAGAAGCCAAGTGATTTGACCAAGATCACCAGTAGTTCCAGCATTCCCTTGAAGGCCTTTTGATCCCCATTCAAATGGTTCTTCCTACAAAACCACACCCATCTCTTCAACAGCTGTATAGTCAAGTGAGAGTTCACAGTTTAAGAATATACGGTTTCTTACACATTTTAAAACCAGATTAATTGGTTATAAAACAAAAAACCTACAGCCTGGTTGGCACTGTCCTTGTCTGCACCCTCAACATGATTTATCTCTTCTGCAAGAAGGGTGTAGCCCATCATAATTATTTCCCCTGAAGGAGAGGGCAGGCACCTGCCTGTTTAATGAGGAATGTGATGGAATAACTCGGACCCTGAGAAGAGTTCACCTACTCGATCATTTTGTTAGTGTTCTTCCGGTGGTTTTCTTGTCTGTGTTTGTTGTTGGTTAGATATCCTATTGCAGATCACTATTAAACACATTCCAAACAGCTTACTTGCCTCTAGAAAAGAAAGGCTAGGCACTTTCAATCTTCCCTAAGAAGAATTGATGCATTTGAATTATGGTACTGGAGAGGAATATTCAAAGTACTGTTGTTTTCCTCAAGAAAAAAACAAATCTATTTCCGAAGAAATACAAGCAGAATACTTATTAGAAATGGACTTTGGACCGGTTATGAGACATGACCAGACCCTGGAGCAGGGCATCAGCTTGGTAAAGTAGAGGGCCAGTGACAGAGAAAGAGCCTTCGGGAGGTCGGATGGACACAGTGGCTGCAACAATAGGCTCAAACAGCAATAATTGTGAGGATGGCACGGAACCAGGCATGTTATGCTCTGGTGTACGTTGTGTCGATACGAGTCAGAACCAACCCAGTGACACCTACCAACAACAGGGCTGAGTGATAATTGCCAGGTATAGTTATGCCAGAGGCTTACGAAAGTTCACAGATAAGTGGAATGAAAAGATAATGGCATTTTTCTACAAACTTTTTGAAGCCAACTTGTGTATGTAAAACTTGATTAGAGCTGCACTCACTGCTTTAGTTACAGATTTTTGGAAGCATCTTAAATTTTCTTGTCAGGATCAGAAAAGATGATTGATTTCTGAAAAAAAAAAGTTGTAATTAAGATAATTTTAAATGCTAAAGGACCACCATTTATACATGCACACTTAAAAGATTTCAGCATAGTATAAACATACCTTTAATGTGACTTGGGAAACCAATATTTGTGTGAACTTTATTACAATATCTGCTTTGTTTTTTGGTGTCATTTGAAGTCCTCGTTCTCCTTGACTTCATTAGGGAGTAATAGGGAGAGGGTGAACATTTTATGTAATGTGCATGTCTCTCTATTTAACCCTCTATCAGGCCTATTTTGTCTATTTCATCTTCCGACTACTCTGTCCTAATTCCATTGTTTTCTTCTTATTGTGGTCCAGTTATATCCTTCTGTTCTATCTGCATGTTTTCCTTTAATAATTTCCTCAATTTGTGAGATTGGTATTTTCCAATACAGCTTCAAGGTCCGAGGGTAGTACAAAGAGTTAAGTCCTGGACGAGTAGCCAAAAGGTTAGCTGTTTAAATCCAGCCCGAGGCATTGAGTGATGTAGGGAGCATCAGGAGAAGATGGAAAGAATACACAGAGTTACTGTACCAAAAAGAACTAGCAGACATTCTACCATTTCAGGAGGTAGTGCATGAGCAAGAACCAATGATGCCGAAGGAAGCAGCTCAAACTGCACTGAATACACTGACCAAAGACAAGGCTCCAGGAATTAATGGGCTGTCCATTGAAATGTTTCAGCAAGCCGGAGAAGTTCTGGAAGCACTCACTCATCTATGCCAGGAAATTGGGAAGACAGCTACTTGGCCAAATGACTGGAAAAGATCCATATTTATGCCCATTCCAAAGAAAGGGGAACCAACCGAATGCTCAAACTAGAACTAGATCATTGAGATTGAAAGCAAGTAAAGTTTTGCCTAAGATCATCCAACAATGGTTGCAGCCGTCCATTGACAGGAAACTGCCTGAGGTTAAGGTGAGAGAGAGAAGACGTGGAACACGGGGTATCAATGCTGATGTCAGCGAGATCTTGGCTGAAATCAGAGAATGCCAGAAAGCTGTTTCCTTATGTTCATCATTTGACTGTGTGAACCCTAATCTGTGGGCCACCTTGAAAAAAACGGGAGTTACAGAACTGTTCACTGCTCGTTCAGAATGTATACAGGCAGTTGTGTGAACAGAGCAACGGAAGGGTTTAAATCAGAAAAATTGTGCAACAAGGTTTATATCCTCTCGTCATATTTTTTCAATCTGAATGCTGAAAAAAGTAATCAGTGACGCTGAATCATGTGAAGAAAACTGTGGATTGGAGTTGTCATGAGTTGAAATGGACTTGACCTCAACTAATGACGCCATACCATCTGTGAGCATCTGTGGACTCCAGCACATCCCACGAGACACAGACCATGAAAGCAGGGCTTTAACGCACACTGCAAAGAAGCCATCAGAGACAAAAAAAAAAAAAAGAGAGATGAAATCCAGAGGTTGAGTGGATGGACAATGTTTTCCAAAGTAGTGGGTATTTTAATAAGGTAAGACTGTGAGACACTGAGTGAGGGACTGGGTTTGCAAAGTATTGGTTTTAGTAAGAACACTAGGCAAAGTAAATAAAATATCCTTTTCTTAATGAGACGGCAAGGAATAAGAAATGAATGGAAAGCAACAGTGGGAGAGGTAGAAAACTGAACCCCAGGGCGGCATGTTTTAAACAGAGGGCAGCGGTGGGTCAGGGTTAGACTTCTCCCCTTTCATGTGTGATACCTGTTCTCGTTTTGACCAGTGCACCTCAATCACAGGTGCCACAGGTCTGTCCGTGAAAGCCAAATGAACTGCAGTATCGCCCAGGGATCGGCATGAGTTCAAAGTCATCTAGTAGGCAGCTACCACAAAAATGATTATTTTAAGCAATTTGGTTTAAAAGATCAAGAATTAGACTGAATTATTATTTAAAAGTAATATAGAATCCAATAAAGTGTTTTTATTTGTGTGTTGTTGTTTTTTTTAGAGCTTGAGAAACCACCATTTTTGTACAAGTCAGAGATAAAGAAAATAGTATATACCGGGGTAGATATAAAATAAGAAATAGAAGGATCCTAAGATAAGAAATAAGAACCTTTGAAAGGATTAACTATGAAGAAGAGTCACTTCCTGAGACAGAAGAAATGGTGGTCAGGGTGACTCATATTAACAATCTCTTGAAAAGTGTAGGTGAGACAGTAAAAAGTTCAAAGGAAGGAATCGGAAGGACTTGGAAAAACAAATTACACTTCTGTGTTGTGTAAGTTTTAATA